GGATAATGAGCAGGCGAACGAGAAGGAGAATGCGAATGCGATTGAAGAGAATGCGAATGTGGTTGAGGAGACTGAGCGCGAGAATGAGGAGAATGAGCATGTGAGTGCGACTGAGGAGAATGTAAATGCGATTGAGGAGAATGCGAATGAGAATGAGGAGAATGCGAATGAGAATGAGGAGAATGCGAACGTGATTGAGGAGACTGAGCGTGAGAATGAGGAGAATGAGCATGTGAGCACGACGACTGAGGAGAATGCGAATGAGAATGAGGAGAATGCGAATGCTCATGATGAGAATGAAGAGACAAACACGCCGTTGAACTCGGCAGCGCGTGGGTCCCATCCACAGGCTGCTGCTCCGCCCTCTCCCGGGGATGGTTTACGTGGCAGGCATGAACTCAACGACGGGGAAGAAAGCGATGGACAACTGACTATTGAAGAAGATCAGATTGAAAAGGAAGGGAATGAGGGCCAGGATAATAAGGAAGCAATGCCCTACGAATTTGAAAAGTTCAAGTTTGGGAAAATGAGTTCACCGGCACCCTCAGCCACTTCCGAGGTTGAGGTAGACGTTGAAAAGAGAGATGCCGCCGACAAGGCCGATAAGGATGAAGTTATCGAGGTCTCTGAAGAAGAACGACAACGTCTCCTCAAGCTGAATTGCCACTCTCGACTGGGAGTATCGGATGCCAGCATTGATGCCGCAGAAATGATGTGTACGGAGTTTCCCCCCTCGCCAAAGTCCGCTGAAACTGCAAAATTTATTACGCAGGTGTTGGAAAAGCACTTTCTTTTCTCTTCCCTGGATGCCAAGCAGCTGCATAAGCTGGCAATGGTGATGAGCATCGAGGAGTTTACGCAGGGAAGCAAACTGCTTGTCAAGGGGGAGGCAAGTAACCACTTTTACATCGTTCTTGACGGCGAGGCCACCATGACCATCCACGAAGAAGATGAGAGCAGGGCCACGATGGAGCGACTTGAAAAGGGCTCCGCCTTTGGAGAAGTGGGGCTTTTGTACGAGACTCCAAGTGAGGTGACGGTGCAATCCGTCACGCCCCTCGTTTGTGCAGTGTTGGAGCGGACAACGTACAAAATGATTGTTTCGCGGGCCGCCGAAGAAAAGCGCCAACGGTATCTTTCCTTCCTGGAAAATGTCCCCTTCCTTAAGGCCCTAACGCCGCAGGAGCGTTTACAGCTCGCGGAGGCGTTAAAGGAGGATCAATTTAAAAAGGGTGATAAAGTCATAAGGTACGGTGAGAAGGAAGATTGGCTGCACTTTATCGTGGAGGGCACGGTGGATATTATTGGGCGTGATGAAAAGGGCGAGGAGGAGTACGTTGCAACGTCCCACGCTGGGGAGTGTGTCGGGGATTTGGAGTTTCTGTACCGCCACGAAACAGTGGCTGATGTTGTTGCCACCAGCCCCGTCGTCACGACCGCCAAGATGAGCCGCCTGCATTTCGAAAAACTATTTGGGAGCGCCAGGGAGTTGCTTGATCGCAAGGTAAAGGACGATGCCTCCTACACATACTACCGCCGAAGGATGGGCAGCGCGTCACCTCCACGGGAGGATCTCACTCCACCCTTCGATGCGCCACCGGCCTATCTGTCAAACATTTCTGTACCTTTGCCATTGTGAGTAGACCGTGCCAGGGAAGCAAAAGGGGCTGACGGCTGCTTGTAAGTGTCAGGGTTATATTTTGACATGCAAGCGCGAGACGCATTTATGAAATGTAAAAAAAAAAGAAAATTAGGCAGCAAAATGTTCTGGGAGTCGGCGTGGCATGATCGCCTTCCAAAGGCCCCTTTTAGTTTGTCGTTACTTGTGTGCCTCGTCTTTTTCTTTTTCCCACTTTTTTGTAATTTTTCTTTTTCTCTATTGTGTTGTTGTTAATTGTTATTGTTGTTTTTATTTTGTTTCTATTGATTTTTAACGTCACCGGTTCCCCCTGTCCGCCTGGCGCTCCTCTCCTGTTTCGCTGCTGAAAGGAGCCTGTGGTGCCTCTGACCCGGCGCTTTGTTTCACCCCTTGCAGCAAAGACAATGCCGAGGGGGTGAGGGGCAGGGAGCAACAACATCAAGAAAAAAAAACAGGCAAAGGCAAAAAAAAAGCGGAAACAACAACAACAACATCAACGGTACAGGTGACGCTTAGGAGGAGCCTATTTCTTGGTTTTAGGATTTTTCATCTGATTTTTCTTGGAGTGGGGCAACGTCTCTGCCTTAGCGTAGACACCAGCGTTATATGTACTAATGTGCTGCTCAGCAACGACCAAGTTTTGTGTCCTGGGCGGGCTGTGTGACAACACCCTCTGCTCCATCTCTTCTCGAGGGTGTTTTTCAACCTCCTCCCATCAACGCGTGCCGTGGAAAGACTTCAAGGTGAGGAATATGTGTCCTGTCTCGTCACTTGCGGCCGCCTTGTCGCTTGTCTGCTTCCGTTCTATCCCGTCTGCATGTGTGCCACGTTTTTTATCTCTTTTTTTCCCCCTCTTTTTTTTTGTTTGCTCGTTTGGGTTCTGTACAAGGCGGGATTTTGATTTCTTTTGGTTGGCGGAATCAGAAGTGGAGTTTGTTTGAGGCGAGTTTCTCATGTCGTCTTATCAGCGCATAACCGTGCAGTTTGCCGGCGGCTGCGAATTACTTTTTGATAAACAGACGCAACTTCAGCTGGAAGGGGCCATTCCGCACGGTACAACAATCAACGGGCTGGTGCAGCTGCTGAAGGCAAACTACGTAAGCGAAAGGCCCGATCTATTTGTGGACCAATCGGGAACGGCGCTGCGTCCAGGGATTCTCGTACTTGTGAACTCGTGTGATGCAGAGGTTGTGGGCGGAATGGACTACGTTCTCAATGATGGCGACGTAGTCGAATTTATCTCGACGCTACATGGTGGTTGAAGGGCACATAATATATACATATCTAAAAATGGCGGTCCCTGCTTTCTCGAGCCCTGCCACTCGATGGATGCAGCGAGTTTCATCCCGGCATCCGCATCTGCTTTCCCCCCAATGCTTCCTTTAATGCGAAGGGAAACAGGGGAAGGCCGCGTTGAGTACTTTGTGCTCTTTATGTGTGTATGTTGCTGTTTTTGCCGTCCCTTATCATTACTTTTCAGTCAGTCAGTTCGTCTCTTTTTCTCTCACTATCTCTGCTTCTATTGCTCCAATGCATTTGAGGCCGATTTCCATTCTTTACCCTTACCTCTTTTGTTGGTTGGTGGGTTTCCCGCCCTGCTTCACAACAGGGGAGGTTGATCTCCTTCAAATACCTCGTCACTGACCCTGGAGGATGACGGAGGAGAACGTGGTTGTGGCGAATATCAACATTGGAATTTTGGGCCACGTCGACAGCGGGAAGACGTCTCTGGCGAAAGCGCTCTCCTCCACCGCTTCCACAGCGGCGTTTGACAAAAGTCCCGAGAGCCAACGTCGCGGCATCACGCTAGACTTGGGATTCAGTGCCTGCTGCATCCCCACGGCCGCGGCCGCACCGCCGTTGTATGCGGCAGGCATTGAGGAGGTCCAGTGCACCTTTGTTGACTGCCCGGGTCATGCGTCCCTCATTCGGACCATTTTGGGTGGGGCACAGATTATAGACATAATGATCCTTGTTATCGATGCATGCAAAGGGATACAGACGCAGACCGCAGAGTGCATCGTCATTGGCGAAGTCCTGTGTAAGCCGCTGCTAGTGGTAATTAACAAGATTGATGCGGTGCAAGGTTCAACCCCAGCTGAGAAGCGCGCAACACTGGACAAGTTGCGGAAGCGTCTTCAAAAGACGTTTGAACGTACCCGCTGGCCCCTAGTGCAGATGGTGGAAGTTGCTGCCGCCCCGCGTGGAGACGCGGCGACGACAGGTGCGCCGCCTCACCCCATAAATGTGGAGGAAGTGACTTCTGCCGTTTTGGGCCTTGTCGATGTGGCGGTGTTGAGGGAGCAGTTGGAAACGCAACTTCGACCGGAGGACTTTGCGATGATGTTTGATCACTGTTTTGCATTGAAGGGCCAGGGCACCGTTTTTACTGGCACCGTTCTTCGTGGACAAGTCAGCGTCGGTGATAACATTTTGATTCCGGATTCGCACCTGGTAAAAAAGGTGAAGGGTTTGCAGGCATTTCGAAAGCCCTTGCAGCGGGCAAGACGCGGAGATCGTGTGGGGCTGTGTGTGGTTCAGTTTGATGCCGAGGGGGTGGAACGGGGTTTATTGTGTAGTGCACAGCAGCAGCAGAGAGGAGCGCTCCCGGCTGACGCACCCCTTTTGATTGAGAGTGCAAAAGTGCTGGTTGCCGAGGTGAATCGTGTGCGATTCCATCAGCTTTCCTGCGACGCCCACACCAAATTTCACATCACCATTGGCCACTCAACCGTGATGGGGACGATGAGGTATTTTAGTCGTCCCACGCCGCACATGCGAGAGGGAGAGAAGTCCACGGCGTTTGATCTCTTGCAGGAGAGTTTATATGTTGAGGAACTCACAGAGGACGCCGTTCTCGCCTTCGACAGCGCTGAAAGTCAACCGCAATTTGGTCAGCCTGTCGCCGTGAAGCGCGGTCCGCGCACATACTATGCCATTGTCCTCTTGGACCGACCCATTATGGCCGCCGTTGGCACCCCGCTAATTGCCACACGACTCGAAATGGAGCGGGAAAACATGTGCCGCATTGCAATTGCGGGGTCTGTGTGCGCGCTGCTAAATGCTGGAGGTTCCGCCGACGCATCGCTGACGTCTTGGCGAAACCTGCCGATTGTTCGCTATAAATCCAGGGCGCTTGTTGTGGAGCGCGTAGTAAACGAGAAGACTTGTATCGCCAGCGGTGTTGTTGGGTTTGAAGCCCCGGAGACCAGCGGTGGTAGCAACAACCACAAGGCGAAGGAAAAAGACACCCTGCACGCCGAAGTGCAGAAGTTCATTGGCATGCAGGTTCACTTTCGTCCGACTGTGGGCGAGGAAGCTGGTGCCTCCACTCTCACAGGGGCGAAGGAGGGGGTTATTGACTCCGCGTTTGGCAAAACGGGAAAAGTAAAGCTTGTCTTCAAGGACCCCATTTTCCTGGAGAACGGGCCCTCGGCCACGGGGCGAGCGAAGCGAGGTGGTGTGGCATTTCTCACGGACGGTGTGGTGGAGCTCACACTCAAAAAATACCCTCTCGCTCTCCATAGTCAACTCCAGCAGTAGACGATGCGTGCGAGGAGGGGAGGGGGACGTGACGGAGCAAAAGGCCGGGCCATGTTATTCCACGTGACGGCTTTTTTTGTTTGTTTGGTCGGTGGGGAG